CACAAAGCCAGCACTGAAGCCGAGTTAGGCACCTTAGTGCATTACACTGTGGTGTCTTTTCTAAAAGTGTACATGCACTCAGCATGGAATGTTATGATTGGAAATGTTACAGGTTTCCAAATTAAAAAAAAAAGCTGTTTTCATTCCAATCTTATTTATGCAAAGTTTATGAAGATTAGAACTGGCAAGTTATTTCTAACCCTTGCCTTTCCTCCCCCTTTCCCTGCGCTCTTCTGTCAGGCAGGGAGTCTAGAAATGACAACCTGCTATTTTCTGAAAATGTTTGGTGGCAGCTGAAATAGGAAACACTGTGCTTGGTGGAAACTGTCAGAAATATATAAATCTGAAAATATAATTGCATCATATATAGTGAGTAGGGAATCTTGGTTGACATCAAGAGTATATTTATAGGTAGAAAAATATTAAAATGGTAAGTTTACACCAGGCTTATTTTTAAATTGACAACAGCACTAATAAATAGTCTCAGAACTCCTCACAGTTCTAATGACAACTTTGTTAAACATCCATTGTAGAAACATGAAAGCTTCTTTGTTGTATCTCAATAAATACAAACATCCCAGATTCAACAGTTTGATATTAATGCTTACAAAAGAAATTATCACCACAATCACATAATATTGAAGAAATAATACTAAGCACGGCTTTTGCATCTTTATCTTCATATTCACACCTTCAATACTCAACTGTATCAGTTTACTGGGGCAGCAGTTATTTTACTAAAAAAAAAATACTTAAGTTTGAAATAAAATTCAATTTAAGGTAGTTAGTCAAAGTCACCTTAATCATTTTAGTAACAAATTAATGTGAGCTAAATAGTGGCACCCTCAACCCTTCCCCATGCCCAGTATCAGATCCTAATCCCAGGAACCTATGAATATTACTTTATGATAATTATTTTGTAGATGTAACTGAATTAAGGGTTTGAGATGTGAGAATGATCCTGAATTACCTGTCTTTCCAAAACAGGGAGCCTACACACAGAGAATATGTGGTGGCAATGGACCACAGAGGTTGAAAGTGGAGGGACGCAGCCACAAGCCATGGAATGGTAGCAGCCTCCAGGAGTTAGAAGAAGGAAGGAATACATTCTCTCCTGAGGCCTCTGGATGGAGGGCAGTCCAGCTAAAGTCTTTAGTGTGTCCCAGATGTTGTCCCTATTTGAGGTCAAATGCCCCTTCCAGGGTGGTGGTGCTGCCAACCTCCAATGCTGCGAGCTCAGGTCTAATCAGGAATACTTTGAGGAAAACAGGATGTAATCTCAACTCCATTCTGGTGTTTTAGTTCTTTGATGCCCTCCCAGTTTCTGCCCCTTCTATTGGCTGATATTTAAATGTGGAATCACTATCAAGTAGCCCGTCTCAGGCCTCCCTATGATCCGTTGACATTCATGAAGTAAGGCAAAGTGTAAATACATCAGACTTTTTTTTTTTTGGGGGGGTGGGGTAAACGCTACAATATATAATCATAGATATCTAAATTCATTTCATTTATTTCTCATGCAGGATATAGTTTATATATTAATTTACTGATCCAGGCTTCTCCTTAAAATAAAGTTATTGTTTTAGTGCCTAATCCCTTTATAAATATCCTAATATTTTTAGTCTAAAGTAAGTAACTTTATACAAATATTTGATTGTCACTATAACCACACTTAGAGAAACAAATTAAAAACTGTAGAAAAATTATTAAGTCTAAAATGCATGCACACATGCACACGCGCACACACGCACAAATTACTTATACTGAGTAATTACATAGTGATGACCCCGCTACCAAATGTTTACATTCTCACTTAGAGTTATAAAATCAATTTGTGCACATTTATAAGAAGGGTACCAAAAAATAACCGGAATTGCAATGAGTGGAGCTGAGCTTTCGTGGTATGAATTGTTCCCACTAGGCAATCATCTAGCAACTCGCTCTGAGTTAGTGAACCCAGCAGCATCGCCTAGGAAGGTTCTCTCTGGTCACAGTGAATTTTTTCAAAAAGCAGTTTCACTCCAGCCTTGTTTTTCATGGTGACCAATTTAAGAGAACAGTGTGCAGCTGTGAAATTCTGTTTCCTGCTTGGGAAAAATGCCACAGAAACTTTTGTGATGTTGAACACAGTGTACAAGGGCAGCGCTTGTGGGGGCGGTGGGGGGAATCAGGGTATTAATGGTTTTCTCATTTCAAAAAAGGTAAAATATCGACTGATGGCAAACCTCAAGATTTGCAAACCTGGAAATCCACAGAGGTAGTTCAACCCTGCCCTACCAGGTCACTATGATTCAGAATTGGTTGTTTAGGAGTTAATTTGAGTAAGGAGGGATAAATTAATGTTCATTCTTTGTGTTAGCATTAATGAGTACATATAAACTCCCAAAGAATTTTTACCAGGATCACATCTATAAAAGGAGCCCTAGTGGTCAAAACATTGGGCTGCTAACCATAAGATTGTGAGCTGTTCGAACCCACCCGCTGCTCCATGGGAGAAAGATGAGGCAATTTGCTCCAGTAAAGATTTATGTCTCAGAAATATAAAGGAGAGGTAGCTCTACCTCCCTACAAGGCCACTATGAGTTGGAATCCCCCCATGGGCAACAGTTTTGGTTTTGGCGTTTATATGTCTGTACCTGAAAAATAACTCTAGAGGGAGAAAGTCCTTAGTGTTACTTGCTAAAAGACTAATTTACATTCTGAAAAGTCATAATAATTTTAGTAGTCAGAAACATAGATAGATATATGTCTATACACATAGACATATATTTGCATCAGCAACATAATGCAACTGAAATACTCAGATGTTCTACTAGGGTGCTCTGTAGATATAGGTTAATTTTCTGTTTTTATTTCTGCATTTGTATTACATTTTAGCATGATATAAGGCACATAGTACATTAAAGCATACAGAAAAAAAATCATGTTTGCCTGTTTTAGAATGCTCCTAGGCTGATGTATACTAATTTAATATGAAAGACTTCGGAGGGAGGGGGGCGGAATCCAATTGTTTAATTTTAAAATTGAGTTTTTCAAACGGCGTATTTTTTACATCTTTCACAATAGACAAATGTCACACATCCCATAAGCAACCACAATATTTCTTAATGATTACTTTGAAGTGCCAGATGTTCAGATTTAAACCAATGGATTATTTGTACATACCCGCAAAATGCCTTTATAAATCAGCAAAGTCTGGGTGATTTTACTTGAGCCACTGTTCAATGGAGATATTCTTGAAAGAACCTGAACAGAGTTGGAGCAGCTGGGGAAGCCACTTCAGGGACTGGCTTTTAGAATTAGGGGATATGTTTATCTAAAAGCTTAAATTTTTGCTTTTAAAAAAAAAGAAAATAGAGACAAAATATATCAATTGACTCATAGATTATAAATCAAAGAAAAATTGAAGGCAGCTACATAAACAGTGCCCAGGCTGCATCTGTTGTAATCGACACAAAGACCTCCACATTTAGCCTGTTCACCTCTTTGCTGCCATCTTTGCATAAACATGTCTTGAAGCACCATTAATCTAACCAATGAGAGATATTTTTCTTTCAAGAACAAACAAAGTTCAAACTTTAGACTAGCTAAACAACTGTAAAACCAAGCATTTAAAAATAGAATTTTGTGATACTTATTTGTGTTAAAAGTTGGACATGATACTTATCAAATCTCCTCAATAAAAGACAGATATTTGGACATTCATATCTCCTTTTCTGCTGTTATTCAACTATATGATGTTACTAAGACAAAAACTACCTCTTACTACAATGGAAAGTAACAGTTTCATCAAGAATTTAAAACAATAATGACCAAACAACTCTGAATATTCTAAGAAATTCACTAAAATGTAAAAGGGGAAAAAAACAGAACAAAAACTAAGTAGCATACAGTGCAGCTTCTCTCAATATTCAGTGCTCAAGATCACCACGTTTAAAGCAATGTGACTAGTCCACTTCCTCAAATAATTCCCTAAATTAAATTTACACCACCAAAAGCTCTACTGTACAAGCAATCAAGAAATATGTAACTAGAGATGTATTCTCCTTGATATAAGAATCTTTTCAACGGCTCTACAGGGGACCACAAGGAAATCTTTAAAATAAGGAACTAATGTGGATCAAATTAAGCATCACATCATTGTCCAGAGGCATGGAAACTTCTACATATATGGTAATTAGGTCTCCATCTGTCTTCTTCTCACTATCCAAATGTCTTAATCTCTCTGGGTATACGTGTTTCTTTCCTTCTTTTTATAAAGGCCATAATGATGCTGTATGTTAAGCGAAAACGTGAGAAATTAAGTTTTATGCTTTTTGTTTTAAGAAAAGTTGACTTATGCCAATACATTGGACAAACTGTTCAAGAGGAATTGATCCAGGTGAAAATGTGGTCCCTGCTATGTTGCCCAGGTCACAGTGAACCAGGGTGACCTTCAAAAGACTCTGAGTACCGCTTGTGCATTTCTTAGAAGAACGTGGGTAGTGGTTTGTTTCACATCACGCATCTCTTTGCAAACATGCTGGGAAAGGAAAGGGAGGTGAGTTGTGCCTTGACAGCATATTCATTCCACTGTCCTTGTGGGGTTACTAAAATATTAGCAGAGCCCTGCTTGTAAGGTATATGTGATCCCTTTCAAGGTGGGCGTTAGCAGCACAGTTTTTAAGTGAAACCTGAGAGGAACATTACAATTTCCAAATTCAATTTCAATAATTGCATTAACATGGCACAGTTCTCAAGAACTGCCAAAGACAACAGAAGTAGACTGTTTGCCTAGAGTAACAGGTTTCACTGTGGGAGTCTTATGTTGTATCTGGGCACACTGGATGTTGTTACCCATTTCTGACTCTACCACACAGCAGTAAACCTACCCCCTTCTCACCTTTCATCAGATTAATTCCTTCCATTTACATTTTGCCTTCTACTGGGGGCTCACCATTTTGTAAGGATGGAAAGGCCTCGAGATCTTTTGCCTAAAAAGTAAGCTTCCAGCAACTTACCAGTTCCTGAGCACTGATCAGAGAATCAAATTCAATTTGTGTTTATGTGAGACAGCTGCTCGTCATCCACATGCTACTGAAATCGGTTTCCTGAATTTGTGAAACAGAGAGAGAGACATAATTTCTGTAAGAATATATCCATGTTATTTTTCTACTTGGGAAGCCCACACACAACATAATGAAGAGTGCACTTCAGACAAATTTATTATTCAAATATTGAAAAGGTGTTGTGGGGAAGACTCATTAAGGAGTGAAATGGTCCATTACTCTGGACAGAAAGGGCCTGTCCTGGGATTGACTAAATACTGAAGTGCAAAGTCCAAGGCCAAAGGAGAAGAGTGCGTTGCAATTTTTCCTCTTGGAGAAGGTGAAAATATTTTTGTGTGTTTTTTTTAGTTTGTAGACGTTATGACTCACTGATTTTCATTTTTCGGTCCCCTCATGTTTCAGATTCATTTATATTATAACTCACTGCTTTAGAGTCAAGTCCAACTGATCACTACCCTGTAGGACAAATCCCTGCTCCACAGGAATCCCACAGCTGTAAATCTTTACAGAAGCTGGCGGCATCATTCTCCCGCTGAGTGGCTGGTGGATTCGAACATCCAACCTTTCAGTTGGCAGCTAAGCACTTAACCAGTGAGCCACCAATGCTCCCTACTTATATGATAAAGACTGTTTCTTTAAGCTACACATTGCCTTCAGTTATGTTATGTAATTTCCTTGTTAATATGAACTAGTCACATTATATCAGGTAAAAATTAAAATTGTTCTTATAATCATTAACACCATATACACTCATGTATAAGCTGAGTTTTTCAACACATTTTTAATGCAGTTTTTGTGGTAAAATTAGGTGCCTTGACTGATATTCGGGTCAGCTTAACCTCAAGAATATACGGTAATTTCATTGGGTTTCATAGTGCTCAATTCTTGGCTCCCATGATCTCCACTAAAACCTTGCAGGCTTAGTATTTTCATTTTGCAGAGGAGGGAACTGAAAATGTAAAAAATAAATATATAAAACTGCTAGCACTGAACTAAATTATCCCATCTTGCCATAAAATACAGCACATTCATATCCAATTGACAGAAAGTACCACAAGATACAGAAATTGACTTGGGAGCAAACCTAATCATTAAAAAATATAAATACACTCAGCAACTTATTTCTAGTAGCTCACCTATTTCCACCTTGGCAGATACACTGGACCTGACCAATGGAATCTGCGCGACTTCTCATTCTCCTCCCTCAACAACTGTTTATGGGTCTTTCAGGGCCATTGCTAGTATCATGTTCTCTTTCCGAAGTAACTCTCCCTACTAATTGAATGACTTCTTCACTAGGTGTTATCATTTATTCCACTAGTAAGTGTGACTAAATGTTTCCCTGCCGCCCCCGCCCCCCCACCCCCCACCCCAAACCTCAGCTTCCATACAGAAGAACCTGGGCCATGCTCAATGAATGCTTGTTAATCAAAAACATATGCAAATAATGCAACTCAGCCATGAGACCGGATAAAACCTCATCTAATATCATCATCTATCTAGTAGTAAAAATTCTCTAATGCAAACATAAATGACATGGTGGTCTTGTTCAAGATGCAAATTCAGATTCAGCAGGTGTGAGGCAGAGTCTCCACTTCCGCATTTCTAAGAGGCTCCCAAGTGAGGCCACTGCCCATGGTCCCCAGACCACCCTTTGTGCAGCAAACCTAAATCTACAGGGACAACTCAGGGCAAGCTTGGTGAGTGACTTGGAAAGCCACGCGTGCTCCTCCTCATGAATGCTCACCTCTCCTTAGCCCTGGCACCAAAGCCTAAGTTATTACACTTAATAATAACTATGGGCAATTAGGTTTTCAAGTGAATTTCCCTATATTAGACATAAGCTTTTTTGAGGCAGATTATTCTTAATGATGTTTGTATATTCAGTGCAAGGCGCAGGATTGTGCTTTATACATAGAGGGGAATCAATTGAATATGAGTGAAGTAAAATTAAGTACTTAAGGGTAAAATTCCTGATCTGCCTATTTCTCTGGCCAGAGTGCTTGGCATGATGCCTCAAAAACAAGTACATTCCAGTAAACTGATGAATGAATGAATCAATGAATGAACGAATGAACAAACGAACGAACGAATGAAAGAACAAAAAAGCAAAATGGTTTCTCCCTCCCCTCTGTAATTCATCAAGTTTTTATTGCTTGATCAATGCCAATTTCTGGCACCTGGTCAGGTAAGCTCTAGACATTAATGGGTTTACAACGTTGAAGGGTCGTACAAATGATCTCATTGCCATTCTGATTTTCTAATGTTATTTGTGTCACCCAGATGCTACAGTGCACTTCCAATCCAGCATTTCAAATTTGTTGTGCCAGGGTTGGAATTTGTGGCCACCACTGTTTGGTTTACATTCAGGATGACTGCTACTTTAAAAACCACTAACACCCAAGTGATCAGGGTTAACCATAACTAGGGTCATTCTCTTCCCATTTACATTTTAAGTACCAGAGATTTTGCTTTATATTTACAAAACAAAACACGACAAAACTGGGAATTTTTAAATTGAACTTTACATTTTTTCCCAAATGTACTTTTTAAAAGGCTTCCGTTTTCTGAAGCCAAGCTTATTATTTTCAGAAGAGTAATTTTTACAGGATTCGAGAAAGTGACTGCTCAATTAAACCAAGTTTCACAAGTTTACCTCTACACATTTCTGAAAATTAATGTATCGTTTCTACTGTGGAAGGAGCTCTGCAGCACTGTGGGGTGTTGGGCTAGTAATCACAAGGTCGGTGGTTTAAACCCACCAGCAGCTCCTTGGGAGAAAAGGCTGTCTGCTCCTATAAAGATTGTACAGTCTGAAAAACCTTGGTTCAAACATTTGCTATCACTCAAAATCCAACTGATAGCAACAGGTTATGCACTGTGGAAGGAGCCCTAGTGGTACAATGATTAAGTGCTCAGCTGCTAAGCAAAAGATCAGTGGTTCAAATGCACAATCCGCTCCAGGGGAGAAAGACGCCACAGTCAGCTTCCATAGAGCTTTGCAGCCCTGGAAACAATGGAGAAGCCTACTCTGTCCTACAGGCGGGCGAGGGGTCGGAACCAACACGAGAGCAATGGGTTTTGTGGAGTTTGTGTTTCTGTTTTGTTCTGGGTTTTTTTATGGACTATGAGATGGTCCTAAAAGTGTCTTCAGTACACAATGCACCAAATCAGTATTAAGCACCTACTACATTTAGAACATATGTTAAATGTTAAGGAAAATTTTTTAAATAAATATCTCAAAGTTTTAAGAATATTCAGTAACAAAATGACACCAAAAAATATAAACAAATTTGAACCAAAAAATCTTCACTTAGTGCTTTTCCATGAATTTTAAAATAAATGGTTTTAATCTGAGGAACACATGTGGACTCAAAAGGGGGTAGTATTTGTCTTTTCAATTAAACACTTCTATGGTTGCCTTTTATTCCTCTATACAAGAATTGTGGTAGGCTATAATTATACGCGCATAATTTAAATTCCCATAAATGTATTTTTTATGATATAATAAAAGTTTTGGAACCAGAGATGATAAATAAGTGCTCATTCTTCAAAATCCATTGTCAATTGTTCATAAAAAAAAAGAGGGAGAGAAAGTCCTGAATTTATTTTAACAAGTAACTCAGAAGTAGGTTTCGAATTGGGGGGGGGGTTACCTCATTAGCAGTAAGCGCAGACATGCAGACATTCCCCTACACAAGCCCTCTTTCAGCAGCATCAGAAAGAGAATGCTTTCTGCATGTGTCACTTCTCAGGTCCAAGCCTCTAGCACGCGTCTTGTTATATACAATTAGCTCCATGCCAAGATTTAGTACATTTCATAATAAATCCCTTGACCGCATTAACTGTAGGCTTGGCAAAGAGGGAAAGGCTCTATTCACGGAGGCAGAAAACAAGCCGCAGGACTTAGCCCACAGCAAACTCACTTGCTAGATGCCAGCACTTTACAAATGTCAACAGCCTGCCCTGCCCTCCTCCCTTCACCCTTCCTTCTCTAGGTGGGATGGAGGAAGGGGCTGAAAAGTACAACCTGCCCAAGGACTGTGATTAAAGAATATGTAAGGGTGAATAGTTGTTGTTTTTTTTAAGCTGCAGACAAACTAGGTGTATTTACCTCTTCCTTCTCCTTCTAACTCTTGTTAGGAGCTTGTTCCTTTGCCCCAACCCTTGCCACCCACCCACCTTACAAGACCCTCAAGATCACGTCAGAGACGAGATACAGCATTTGTCTCCTTTGAACAGGGGGCTGGGGCTCCGTCTCGGGGTTCCCATTGTGGCACATGGATGGTGTGTTGAGGAGCATGATGGTTTGGGAAAAATCTCTAGAAGACAGCAGCAGAGATGAAAGGAGGGAAGCATGGGGCCAACGAGCACATCTTCTGTTCAAAATTAGACCAAGGGATGAAACCATGCATTTTCCCGCACGAGTAACCTTTGTAGTACGGAAAGACTCAGAAGCATCATATTGCAGAGCAGAGAGGGACAAGCTTTGGAGTGTACAAACCTAGATATCAATCTTTAAATCGGCTTGTTTTCTTTTCACAGTGACATTACGGCCTAGAAACTCATATGGCAGTGATTCTCAACCTGTGGGTCATGACCCCTCTGGGAGGTTGAACGACCCTTTCACAGGGGTCGCCCAATTCATCACAGTAGCAAAATTATAGTGATGAAGTAGCAACGACAATAATATTATGGTTGGGGGGGTCACCACCACATGAGGAACTGTATGAAAGGGTTGCGGCATTAGGAAGGTTGAGAACCACCGCCCTATGGGGTAGTTCTACTCAGTCCTACAGGGTCACTGTGAATGAGAATCCACCCAACACACACAACAACATGGTGCTTACAACAGTGTCTGACCCTGAGCAGGCACTGAGGAACAGTGTTGTTATTGTTATTCAACAACCATCTACAGCCCAGTCTGACGTCTTGTGATCGTCGAACAGAGCCTATGTTCTCCAGCCCCTATACTTCTAGCACAGGAACCCCGATGGCACAGAGTGAGCACTAGAATGCTAACACAGCAGTCGGTGTTTCAC